AGCCATCAATTAATTGAGCCATCAATTAATTGAGCACCTAGAAATGAAGTGTCCCATCCATGGCAAGTCGAGTGCCCAGGACTAGAGGAATCTACCACACTCCTTCCAGGGCCTCCCATTAAACAGCATCTTGTCTGTTGCAGCCCTGGGCGGGGTGGGGGGGTGGCACACGACGTGGCCAGGACTTCCCAGCACTCTGGCCTAAAGCTCCCAAAGAGGAGTCAAGTAAGGGGCATGTGGGGCCTGGGGTGCATGGGGGCCAGCAGTCCTTGACTGGTTCATCTCAAAGGCGACTGGTACCTTGCTTCTATTTACTAAAGTCCAGAATTTAAGAGTTTCAAATGCCATGTCAATATCTATTAGATTGTACAAATATCTTCAGAAAAAAACTAGTTACACTGGTCAAAGCGCTATGGAATCTTTGGTGCAAAAGTTTTGGCATTTGCTGGGACTTGAAGAAAATAAAATCTGAAAACTGTCTCCATTCCGAGCTGATAGGATGTGGTCGTAGTTGCTTTACTCAACATAGCCGATCAGCAAAGGGCTGTACGAGGTCTGCAGGGCAGCAGAAACTGAGTCCACACACGCTGGAGCAGACCAAGGAGCCCGTGTTGCAGATGTAGAGATGCCCTTGAGCCAGAAAGGGCAGACGACACCCTCACGGCAGAATCAGGATCCAAACAAACAAGCGTCCAAGCCAACAGGCTGGCATTTAATACAGAAAAAAGTAATGTCTATTTTTTCAGGCCCAAGTTCGGCTGCCTGAGTGTGCCTTGGAGACAACCTTCCATCGTCCTAAAAGCAAACCTCACAAGATGGAAACCTTCACTTAAAAATGAAAGGGGTGGCAGCCAAATGTCCCAAAACCTAGCCTGGGGAAAGCAATTTGGAAAATCTTCAGGTTCTCTCTGGATTCCCTGAAGGCTGGAGAGAGGACTGTTCCACCCAGTGAGACAGCCCATCGCCTGTCACAGCCTTAGAGGAACAAGAGCACGGTCAACAGTCTCCAAACACCTTGCCGGCCTGCCCCTGGGGGTTGATGACATGGTATCACCTTCGGCGCTGTCACCATCAAATAAATGCCTCCCAGATTCAGAAGCCCAAGAGATTATGAATCAGAAATCTGAACAAATACAAAATTGAAATCTCCCAACAGGTTACGGTATATCCATGTCCCAACCCTCGGGACCTGTGAATATGACAAAGGCAGGGGGCAGGCTTCTTTATACGTGTGATGAAGTTAAGGATCTTGGAATGGGAAGGTCGTCCTGGATGTCTGGGTGGGCCTTGAACTCAGTCACGTGTATCCTTACAAGAGAGCAGAGGGAGCCCTCCCCCACGGAGGAGGAGGCGCTGGAAGATCTGCAGTGACGCAGCCACGGCCAGGAGCACCAGGGGCCACAGGAAGGTAGAGGGGGAAGGGACGGATCTTCCTCGGGGCCTCAGATGCTCCAACACCTTGAGTTCGGCCCTGGATACTGATTTCAGACCTGGGCTCCAGGCCTGGGAGAGAAGACACTTCTATTGTTTTAAGGCACCAAGTTTGTGGTAAGTTTTTTGTTGTTGTTGTTTTTTTATCCTCACCTGAGGACATTTTTGCATTTTTTTGTTCAGGTAGAGTGGGAGGGAAAGAGAGGAAGAGAGAGAGAGAGAGAAGCATCGACGTGAACGGGACACATCGAGTGACTGCCTCCCGCATGGCCAACCAGGGCCGCAGACAAACTGCAACCGAGGTACATGCCCTTAGGGGGAACCAAACCCGGGTCTCTCTGGACCACAGGCCTACGCTCTAACCGCTGAGCCAAACCGGCCAGGGCTGTGGTAAGTTTTTATAGCAGCCACAGGAAACTAATACATGGGTCAGTATTAATTTTTCCTGCCTCCCTCCCTTAGCAAACACCCACAAAAGGACCTACTGTGCGCTAGGGTCCATGAAGAGTGCAGAAGACAAGTAAGGCAGAGGGCCTGGCCCCCACCAGGTCACCTCTCGGCGGCATTGCTAACTGGGCCACAGACACCGGGGCCACGTGGTACAGCAAAGACAAAGGCACAGCTCTGTCCCGGATGCTTCATGGGGCAGGAGATACGCATGTTCAGCCCTGAGGGGTTCACTGGATCCTAACAGGCCAGGGCAGCAGGTGGTCTAAGCTGAGGGCACAGAACCAAGAGGGACACTGACCTGGAAGAGTGAGTCATGCTGGGAACCAGTGAGCGGTCAGGACTGGGGACAGGCTGAGAGAGGAGGCCAGAGAGGCAAGTTGGGGCCAGACCACGGTGATGCCTGAATGGCAGGCCAAGGACCTGCTTGGCTGGAAGGTGGGCTGTCTTGGCTGAGGGCCCACCCTGCGGCAGTTCCAGCAAGGACCATGCATATGAGCCAGCACTGTCCCATGAAGCCATCCAAGAAGGCGGGTCTCAGGGGACCACGCCTCTGGCAGCCGTGCTGGAAACAGTCCCAAAGATGTGACAGTGATTTAGACATTGAGGAATAGGAACGAAGGACTGTGCCCACCAAGTATGGCTCCCCAGCCCTGACACACAGTCTGGCATTGACTGGGTGCTGGGGGTCTGTGAGACGAGAAAAAAAAGGAGCAAGGAGAGAGGGAGGGGTAGAGACATGGCAGGATTACACCGTGTACCCTCCCTCTACTTTGGGGACAGGGTCTCAGGGGACCATGCCTCTGGGCCACCCTGTGGTAGCCCTTGCCCAGCAGGGTTGGTTAGGCTCAGCCTGTGATCCCTGCTGCCACTATAAATGGGCAAGCAGCTGCCATCAGTTCCCACTGGGCACGCTGCCAGGCCCTTGGCCATTTGTATTTTGAGCCTGGTAATCAGGGCTGGGGGAACACTGGGGACCAGAGGCAGGTCCTCACTGGATAAACTCAGGACAGTTCAGCTGCTCTCTGAACGTGGCCTCTTTGGGGTTTGCAGAGGGGAGACAGCAGGGCCAGCGGGTAGCCCCAGCTTCACCTGCCAGTGTGCTGCCGCCCACCCCTCTGGCATCACTGAGACCCTGGCGTCGATACGCTCGGAGGACACAGTAGCACAGAACAGAGGGAGGAGCGCTGAACTGGAGATTCGAGCTGTGCAGCCTTGGAAAATTTCCTAACCTCTCTGAGTCTCCGCTTCTCCTTTTGGAAAAGGGGGCCTGTGCTCTAGAGTAGCCCACATCACAGGGCTGTAACTTCAGAGGGTCCTAAGAAAGCACTTCGCATTCTCTAAGATGCTACATAAATTCAAGGGGCCACTGATGACTATGGCGTGGGATCCATTTCCTGAGGCAGCCCTGACTTGCTAGTTGGGAAATGAGTCGGGCTGGGGAGGAGGGTGTGCGTCCCCCCTGCTTGCCTTACGCCTGAGTTCCCCGTGTTTTGCTGCAGAAAAGGCAAAGGCTTTGCAGGTGTGACCTTGGCGGGCCTCTCCGCGCTGGCAAGGCGCAGGGCAAGAGTACACACGGAGGCCACTTCCCATATGCCTCATATTTAAAAGTCATAAATCAAGCTAACAAACCGTTAAATGAAACATGCTCTGTCCTGTACCTTGTTAAACACATCTTTGTAATGACCTGGGAAGCCAAGAGTGAATTTAGAATTCTGGGACCCGCGGCTGCGCCCGCACCTGGCTGCATGGGGAGAGCCCACCTGACCTAGGTCTGCCCTGCTTCCCTCCCCGCCCCCAGCTCCACTCAGCACCCTGCGCGGCCTCGCACACAGGTGCGGACACCCAGCCTCACACCCACGCTCTGTCCGCGCCCCCACAGAGAGCCAGTCCTCCCCCGGGTGCACATGGCTGTGACAGGTGCTGAGAGAGGCTGGAAGAGGCTGGGGCTACTTGGACAGCACCTCTAGGGTGGGCTAGAAGGAGGGGCTTGGGCACCGGGTGGACAGACCCCCTTGGCCCTGCAGACTCTCTCTCCATGGTCCATCGTGGGGAGGGGCCTGCAGGGCCAGAGCAGGTCCCTCTTGCCTGGGTCTGGGGGTGATTTTTGCTGGGTCAGGACTCCTGCTTGCTGGGTGACTTAGGTATATCCCCACCCCTTTCTGGACTCGGTTCACTCACCAAGACAGCAAGGTGAATGACCCCCTCACCTACTTCTCAGAGCTGCTGTGAGGCGCCAAAGAGAAGTCCATCGGGCGGGGAGGGGGTGAAATACCAGCCTGGCCTTCCCCACGCCCGAGGAGTCAACAGTGCTGGGAGAGGAGCGGCCGCGGAGCCCCGGCGCGGAGTGCGCGACGTGGGCCCCGTGAATGACTCAAAACAAGGGGCGGCACAGACCCTTAAACAAAGTGTAATGGTACTTCAACCTGACTTCCTCCTGCCTGTTCTTTCAAACATTTTTTTAAAAACCTATATTTAGGATGTCCCTGCTATGCTCGTGCCCTGAGCACGCAGCAGCCAGCACCACGTGATGTGCTGTCCCCGGAAGGACACCTGGTGGCCTCCTTTCCAGATGTCTTGAGAGAAACTGACACAGTGCTGGCCTGGGGGGGTCAGGATTCAATGGCCACGGGGTGTTCAGTTTAGAATCAGTGACAAACCCACGAGAAAACATCCTGTCTGTCCTGAGCACATGGTCCTCAACTCCAAGCAAAAAGGCCTGGAGGGCACCCCAGGGGTGCTTCCTTGTGTTCATGTCGCATAGACTGGGTGGGGAGGGGAGGACGGGAGGAGAGAGGATGGGGGAGGCCCCCACTCCCTGTGGCTGGGCGACCTTCGACCAGGTCCTGCACCCCTCCGTGTTCGGACTTCCCGTGTGGCCAATGAGGAGCTATTTGAGTGACAGCCAGTAGCCCTCTCTCTGATGTCCTCCTGGGTGCTGCCACCGGCTGGGCCCAGCCCTGGAGCAGCCCAGCTGCAGGGAGGCCAAGAGCGCAGAACTCCGCCTGATTTATTCAGGTCCACTTCTCAGAAGCATGGAGGTCACCAGGGCTGTTCCGGGGGATGCCCCCCCGAAACCCCATCCGCTGCCTGCTGCGGAGATGCCAACGATGCAAACTCACCAGGCACCATCCCTGTCAGCGTCGGCGCTGAGTAGCTGCCCTGTCCGGCGGGGGGGACGTGCGGAGGGTACCCGGGGAGGGTTGTGCTCGCCAAGTCTCGGCCTGAGGAATCAAAGCAACAAATCACAGGGTGAGCGTCTCCGAAGCCAGCTGCTCATGTCCACAGCTCCCTGGACATCTGCACATTTGTCACGTCTGGACACTGAACACCAACATGCCCCCAGCTCCTCACGTCACTCGCACGGACACACACACACACACACACTCCCCTCCAGCCCCCCTGGCTCCACTCAGCAGGAACAGGGATGACTCTGCTGTGTCCTGGGAAACTGGGGCTCCAGGCAGCTCACCCTGCTCTCTACTCCCCAGGGAGGACTTGGACCTCTGCACGGCCACACCTCTGCTTCTGCTGTGCCCTCTGGTGAGCACCCTGTCCTGCCGCTGCACACAGCCCAACACCGCCCGCCTTCAAAGCCCAGCTCAGCCCTGGCCGGTTTGGCTCAGCGGTTAGAGCATCAGTCCGTGGACCAAAGAGTCACAGGTTCGATTCCGGTCAACGGCACATACCTCAGTTGCGGTTCAGTCCCCGGCCCTGGTCGGGGTTATGTGGGAGGCAACCAATTGATGTGTCTCTCTCACATCAAGGTCTCTCTCTCTCCCCCACTCTACCTGAAGATAAATGAAAAAATATCCTCGGGTGAGGATTTTTAAAAAAAGACCAGCTCAGACCCTGCCTCTACCTCAAACTCCTACGCTCTGGTCCTCCCTGAATCCTGCCTTTGGCCCCGAGCCAGTCACTCATCCCGTGAAGACACAGGAAGCGCCTCCTGACACCAGGTACTGTTCTGGGCACTGAGAGCGGGGGGTTCAGGCATCAGCCCTCAGAGGCAGACACTGCAGCGAGTGCGCGTCTACCCCTGCAGGCTGCAAGCCAGGAGAACTGGGTGACTCCTCATTCATTACCCACACAACTTGGCACCTCCCACGGTCTCGGTGAATAAATGCGTGAATGAACGACGCAGCCAAGTGTTAAGGGAGCAGGACTCTGAGGGAGGTGCCTCTGAGGTCTGTCTGCCTCTTAGGGGAAGGGGGGACTACAGTCCTTGCACACAGCGCCAGCCATGTGCGCGGAACAAGGTGCTCATGGGTAAGACCAAAAACCCAGACCCTATGGGGCCTGGAGGATGAGCCCCCACCCCACTGGGTGGAATTGGCAGTTGCTCCTGAAAAAAAGGGGTGCACCTGCTCTCTGTCATCCTGGGAAGTAGGTGGGAAATGAGGTGGCCTTGGGATAAAAAACAGAACCTCAACCTTTCCTGGATGTGGACACTGAGCATTAAGGAGGCCAAAGAGGTCCAGGGTTGTGGGGGAGCAGCCCCTGACCACACAGACCCAGGCTGGGCCCCAGGAGCCTCCTCTAAGGCCCAGTGGGGCGATGCAGGCAGTATCCAGGCAGTGACTCTGAGCTCAGCCCCACTAGCCAGTGGTTCAGGGGGAGGGGCCAGCTCTGACCAACACCCCCAGAGAATGCCAGCCAGCGCGTCCATGAGACGTAACGTTTCCCAGGTGGAGGAACAGCCCTTCCGTGCCAGTCACTCTCACTGTCCAGCCAGCACCCACAGGCTGCTCATTTCACACGGTTCTGCTCACTCTCCAGAACCTTACAGAACACCAGGCCGTGGCCAGACAGGGGCTTCCTCCTTCCCTCTCTCACTGCTCCCTAGCTCTGCACTGTGCATCCCGGGTCGACAAGCACGGCTGGTGTCTCGTCACATGAGGTACTGTGAGAGGGGAGCAAATACCCAGGAGCCCCGATTCCCCTCCATGAACTGTGTATGACTCCCCGTGAGCACTCAGATTAAACAGAAAATCGGAGTTGGGAGAACTGACTACATCTATAAGGTGATTTAAGGAGGCTGCCCCACCCCCAGCTGTCTTATGCCTCCCCCTCTCATCCTCCTCCAACTCAGCACCCACACCGCTATGGCAACTCCTCTCTCCACAGAGTGTACACTGGGGGATCAAGTCTCTGTACCCCAAGTCAGAGGGCACAGGCCTATAACTATCTGTTAAGTAAACGAAGGAGGTGGCCCTGCTAGAGAAGCAGGGGGTTCTGGAGTCCACAGTAATCCTCTCCACTCATGGTCAGGAGCCAGTGCCCTGTCAGACTGGTCAGCACATGGCGCAGTGGCAGGGCCAGACTGTGGCTGCGTCTGTTCTATGGGCTGGCACCCCCACCAACCCATGGCACAGCTCCCACCGGGCCCCGCCCACAGGCTTACACCCTAATGACGACAATGACAGACCAAAAATGCTAACATAGAAATTATAAAACACCAGGCTCTGTTTCAGTTTTGTTTTGTTCTTTGGTTAATCTTCACCCGAGACTATTTTTCCATTGAGAGAGTGGAAGGGAGGGAGGGAGAACGAGAAAGAGAGAGAGAAAGAGACATCAATGTGAGAGAGACACAGTGATTTGTTGCCTCCCACACAACCCCGGCGGGGGCGGGGATCAGACCTGCACCCATGTATGTGCCCTTGACCAGCAATCGAACGCAAGAGCCTTTGGTCTTGGTCTGCAGGCCGATGCGCTAACCGCTGAGCAAATCAGGCCAGGGCTGTTCTTAGTATTTTGAATTATTAACTCATTTAACCCTCAACAACTCTGTGAGGTGAGGTACTGATACTATCCCCATTTTACAGGATATGAGAGAGAGAACGGTCTAATAATTGGACCAAGTTTGCACAGTAAGGGCCAGGATTCAAATCCAAGCAGTCCAACATCCAAGGCCACATGTATAACCACTCCACTCCACTGCCTTGCACGTCTGCCTGGCCGTGCTTCTGACCCTGAGTCAGAGGCTCCACAGGGCCCAGCTGGGACACCCAGGCTGAGCCCTGCCTTCAGGCACACTGTCACCACTGTTTACTGGCTCCATCATGGAGAACGATATGTGTGTTGGGATGGGCAAGAGCCCTTGGGGGGGAAGCCATATCTGCCTCCTGGAAGACAGGCTCTTATCCTGATAAGAGGCAGCCCGGTGCAGGGGGCTTGCTGGGTGCCTGAGATGGATAAGGGGTCCTGAGAGCGGAAGGGCCAGCCTATAGACACTCAGCTGATGTCAGCAAGGCGGGTACCGGAATCCAGCTTCCAGTACTTGGCATTGGGTTCTCTCTTCAATGGGGGTTGAACCCCCATAGTTTCTGCCACTGTTACGCATGATTTAAAACCCTGATCCCCAAAGCAAGGGACTGAATAATCAGTGCCTCACGAAAGCCTCTCTCCAGAAGCCAGCTAAAAGAGCGATAAAATGAACCTAAGTAAAGGGGGAGGAAGGAATTGATCAAGAAGTGGAAAATAACAAATTAGGAAACAGAAAAGCAGACACAACAATAAATACAACCAAGAACTGGTATTTGAAAAGACCAATAAGATGGAAAAACATAGGGAAACATTAAAAAAAGAAGAAGACACAAATATCAAGATAAGGAATCAGGAGAAGATACAACCAGAGATATGCAAGAGATGATGTTTAAAAACGTTTAAAAATGCATGGCCGCTCTACATTAATGAATGTGGAAATCTCAATGGAAAAAGAATTTTCTAGAAAAATATGAATAAGCAAAATTAACTCAAGTAGAAGTAGAAAATATAAACAGCCCAATAACCTTAGAAGAAATAGAGAAGGTTGTTTTAAAATTATTCTTAAAAATAAGGTGCCTCATTCATTTCGTTTCTTGAACACATTTTTTTGTTTGTTTGGGGCAAGATCTTTTAAATTATGGGCAAGTTCTTCAAGGGACACATATTCCTGTTACTACACTGTTTCAGGTTATATAAAAACTAAAAAGACCTTTCCGATTTATTTTGTCGAGCTAGCATAATTCAGATGTAAAAACTTAACAAACGTCCACCAAAATGAAAACTAAAGGCCAGTCTCACAATGTATTAATATACATGCAAAAAAAATCAATCTCACTGATCAAGCAATATTAGAAAAAGAATAGTATAGCATGACCAAAGAAAGCTTACTTGGGGTGTGCAAGGATGATCAATAGTAAAGCACTGGCTGGGAAGCACAGTAATGTATCAGAGGAGGAGAAACACATGATTGTATCAAAGCTGTGGAAAAGGCATTGGCTGAAACTCAAGACTAATTCCTTACAAGAACTGGAGTCTACTTCTTTGATCTGATATTGATCAACATCATACCCAATTGGTGAAACACTTGAAGCATTCTTACTAAAGTCAAGAACATGTCAAAGAAACCTGTTATTACTAAAAATTTTTCTGAAAGTTTTAGCCAATACAAGAAGACAAGTTGAGATATACATATTGAGGGGGGCACCAAAATGATCATTAGCTGGCTATATCTTGAATCTGGAAAATGACTAATGAATCAGCTCATCCACGAGAACTAATAAAAAGGTTTGGTGAGACAGCCAGGTAATGGATATCTAGAATCAACACCTTTTTAGATTCAACAGATCCCCACTGCCTATTCAATTATGTATAGATTTTTAAATTTGGCTTCCAAAGCCCTCCTCAGTCTGTGTCCCCCACCTGTGACCTTTCATTAACACCCACTTCCCAGCCATTCCCCAAACTGCCCTGCGCTTCTTTCCTGTTCCCACGCCCTTGCTCATGCCCTTTGCTTTCCAATGGCTCTCCTGTCATCCCCATCAATGAAACCTTCCGTCCAGTCTCCAGATGCCCTCCAGATGCCACTCTCAAGAGCCAGCTCCTCTGTGAAGGTTTTCAAGGCCCTGCAAGTATCTGCCTCTTCTGGAAGTCCCGCTCTCCCCCGCCCCAGCCTCCCAGAGCAAAGGAGCATCATTACCGACGAGATGACGGCGGTGATGTTAGTAATGGTAAGACAGCAGCTACTTGCGCCAGACGTTCCCACCCCTCTCCACTCAGGAACTCCTTTTATCATCCTAACTGCTCTACGAGGTTCGAAAACGATCGTGCCCACTTTACAAAAGTGGGAACTGAGGAAGGAAGAAGTAACTTGCCTAAGGTTACACGGCAAATAGGAAAGGGGGCAGAGATTTGACCCCAGGCGGCAGGCTCCAGCCTGGGTTCTTGGGTGGGGTAAGGG